ATTCAAAAAGAAATGTCTTTTGAAAATGGAGGGAGATGTGGAAAGAACATACTCCTGTTTAATGACGATAACACCTACTAGTGTAGGTCTGAATGAGCATTTTCTTCTTCTGGGCAATTTGTAACGAAAATAAAAAGCCGTTTAACACTAGAAAGACTGAAATTTAGTACTTATATTGCCAAAAAGCAGTCAAAATGACTGCATTGTGAAAGAATAACTATTGTGTACAGAAATTTGTTTAAAATTAATTTTTAATATTTTTTATATCATTTACAGTCATAACAAGTTAATAGTAAATATTAATAAAAATACATTTTTTCCCAAGTGAAGTAATTTTTTCTAAAAAGTCAAGGAAATTGTGTGTTTTTTTTTACGTATTTGCTTTTCTAATTCAAATTAAAAAGCAGTCAAAAGGACTTCCTTGGGAAATCTAGTGTTAAACGATGAAACGCTGGACGAGCTGTATTTTTGAAAGACTTATTTACAGAAACGCAAGAAAAATGAAATGTTTTTAAATCTTATTATGTACTATTTTTATATATTTATTATCATTAAGTTCTACTTTGATTTGTTTCAATAAAAAATGATATTAAACCAATTTTTCAATTCCTACTATTAGCTTGCACTGTCTATATATATATATATATTTATCTTGGTGGAATTTTCAATCTGTAATAAAATACATTTTAAAGCGCTGAATTGAGCTGAAATTTTATATACAGGATCATTTTGAATGGCAATACAATAATTTAATTATAATTAATAAAAATTCTAATTGATTAAAGCTAATTATTTAAAGAATTACAAATACAGCCACGTTGGCGACTTGTGTCAAAACTTAAAAAGGTTTTTTTCTCACGTGTTAAAGCATTCATTTGGACTGAAATTAAAAAGGCAATACGATACTTTAATGATAATTAAAAAAATTAATTACCACTTAACGTTATGATTCTGGCATATGTATATACATATTAATTGTAACTATTAAATAAAAAGTAGCTAAAATAAAATTTTTTCTTTGTTGATCTAAGTAGGAATTGACTTAAATTTTTTTTTATATATTATTTAAAATTTAAACTGTATTTGGAGCTGATGACTCAAAAGATTTACCGAGAAACAAAACATTGCATTAAATTTCCGTGAAAAATCCAGGAAATCAGGATTATACAGGAAATTAATAAAATACAGGATTATACAGGAAAGTTGATTCGCCAACACAAGATTTTATTTAATATATATTGGTTTATTGTAATTCACATCTGAATCCTACAGACTACTTGTGTTTCTTTAATCGCAGTTTATGATGAATAACTCTTCCGAGTTTGTAAACATATTTAATATTCGTAAACTGATCTAAAATCTACATGAAATTGCGAACAAAATGATACAAAAACATTTGCTTTATTTAATTATTAGTTGAAAAAATGTAAGAAAAACAAAGAATATTCTTCATTTTTGTTAGTAACGCAGTATTTTTCAAAAGTATAATAGGTATGTTTAAGCACAGAACTTGAGGTATGGCAAAATATCTTTGAATTTATTCAATTCCTAGTATTAAGCTCACGATCTCTATATATTTATCTTGGTATAATTTTCAATCGTTAATAAAATACATTTTAAAGTGCTCAATTAAGCTGAAATTTTATGTACATGATTATTTTGGATGACAATACAGTAATTTAATTATAATTAATAAAAATTGATTAAATCCAATTATATTCAAAGAATTACCAATACAGCCACCTTGGTATCATTTTTGGCGACTTTGCGAACATTTTGGCAACTTGTGTCAAAACTTGACAAGATTTTTTCTCACTTGTCTATTTCATACATATTTCTGTACAATAATTAGTTTTTCTCGTGCCTTTTACCAACGCCATCGACTGTATTTAGCTTTTGCATGATGGCAACATCTTTGTAATGGCATACTTTGTTGTAACAATGGCACGCGAAGACTTAATAAGTATTTGATATTTGAGTGAAATTAAAAAATATTTGAAAGATATTAATAGATAACTTTTTTTAAGCACCCCAGAGCCCAAGTCTGGATTTTCATGATGCAGAAAATTGACAGCGGCCATATCGTATGATTATACGGCGTGCAAAAAATCCCTAGAGTATCTGTTTGGCTTGGGTGCTCTCGGAAAAATTAAATTCTAGTACAGGGTCTCATCGTCAGAGCTCAGGTGTCTCCCTCTAGCCATTCAAATTACCTGCGGTGAATAGTATCCACCTATATGGTGCCACACTAAAAAATGAGATATCAGCTTCCGGGAATATACCAGGTTAGCAATGGTAAAACACTAATCCGCCGACCATTAGAAAGTAATTTTTTTTAACATTTTTATTGAAATGATATTTTTTATATTTGAGATAACCACAAGATTTTAAATACACAATTTATAACAAATATATAATAAAGAAAATACTCCATTGTATGCGCGAGCTTCCCAAAGGAAATTCACTCGTGAGATTTTGGAATTTGAGGGAGCTTGTTTTAAAATATGCGGAAAAAAAATACTGCTCTCAGTGAGCGTTTGTTATCAAGAATGAATAGTTGCTTTGCGATTTGTCTCATCGTATCGGTAGGAAAAGATATTTAAATAATTTAAATTTAAGATTACAAGGGAAAAATTTCACTTTTTTTCTTGCCTAATTAAACACAGATTTTTGTGAACAAACTTGTTTTTTCTTCGTTTCGATTTTGGAGGAAAAAATAAATTCTTGCATCAATATGAAATTTGCCATCTTAATAATGCTCGAGCTACGGTTGATTAAAAAATTTTCTATCCATTTTGCAGGATTCAATCAATGCTAGGTTTGATCTTTCCAGATAAAAAAAATGTTGATCATTCAATACATCTTTTTTACGTAATTAACGTCTTGTATAGAAATTATCACCCACCTAAATTCCAAATTGGAATTACTGATCCACAGCACCATGCCACATTGAAAAGCAAATATAAGGAACTTAATTCGGATCCTTCGCAATCGAGATATATTGAGTTTTCCAAATTTACTCGATTTGTGTGTGGACTTCATATTGTGATAGGTTTGAATCAACGTTTGTGAACAATCGTTTTCCCATTATGAGCATAACAAATTAAAATATCGCTCAAAATTAATCGATACACACCTAATTCAATTTTGTTAGAAGCTTCAAGAACTAATTCCAATACAGATGACTCAGTTTTTAAATTTCAATTTTTTTAAGCCATTTTTTAAAAAAAAAGACTAATTTTGATGACTGAGGTATTTAATATTGAGATTTTGGTTATGTGTCTGATAAAGAACACTCAATATTTTAAATACGTTGAATGATAAAACAGCCTTTCACATCCTTCAGTGGGCCAATAAATTCGTTCCCAAGCAAGTTTAGTACTCAACAGTGAGTTCCCCCCTCAGACTGACCACCTGCTCATGCATCTTAGTGTCCAAGAGGTAGAAAAAGCCGAGATAGGCACAGATCTTGACCCTCACGTGGGTTGTTGAACCACTGAGTTTTGAATGTGAAAATTTTATTTATATCAAACTAGAAAGTCTTCATACTGAATGATATATTTATAAAACAATTCTTGTAATTGTTGACTTTTTGTACTTTAAATTCCGCAGAATGTTTTAAAAAATTTTAAAAATTATAACTTTAAAATAATTTAAAAATATTAAATATGGGTAAAGAAATGGGGCTATGGTCCTGAAAAAATTTGTCTAGGAGGCTCATAGGAAGAACAATCAAATCCAGTAGGTGTGATCAACCAAGGTGGCATAGGATTCGAGTTATTTCTGGGGAAGCCCTGTAGGGGAAAGGGCACCAATTCCACGTAAAGCTCACGCTAAAAAGAAAATATGGCGGGCCTCCAAAAATCAAGTCCCAAGCTCAATTCTTAGGGCGGTGAAATGTTTTCCAGTCCATATAGGATTAACATGGGAGCATGATATTTTAGTGCTTAAGCCCTCCCCAGACCTACACAATGGGAATGATGCAGATGACTGGATGGGTTTCGACGAATGGAAAGTTTGGTTCGAATCTCGGACTTGAGATTTAAACAGGAGCCAAGATATTGTGAATTTAAACAAATTTAAAAAGTTTAAGACAATTAAAAACTATAGAAAAAATAGCCCTATGAGCATGAAATTATAATAACTGGAAGAGCAGATAGAGAGATTGAAAGACCGAGGTCCTAATAGACTGTGAGGCCCGGGTGCCGAGATATTGGCCAAAAAGCTGTAAGGGGAATGCTCAGGGGGGATGCGTGCGTTCCAACAGATATGGCTTATAGCAACAGTTATTATGATTCCCAAAATATCAGTCCCATAGCACCAAAAAAGTGGCTTGTTAAAATATTAGACAATGGTGTGCGCGCGCATCGGTGTCATGAAAGTATGCGCGTGCATCGTAAAAATTTACCCTCCCCCATCATTTTCCCCCTAATGACAAAAAAATGAATAACTTCAAAAATAAATATACGAATACAAAAGGCTCTTATAATTTGCTACAGTTTAATAAATGTGTTTATTTTCATCGCAATTCGTTCGTAGTAAATACATCTATAATCATACACTTACAATTGTTATTTAAATAGGTAAACTAATATTTACTCTTATATTTTATGTACATTAAACACAATTTAAAGATTAATTTACTATTTCTTTTTTAATTTCCTGTAAGTATGTTTGGTTTAATAACAAAAAGTGCTCAAACAAATGCCTCAGAGAAGCTCAGTAGGCGAAGGACGCGCTCTCCCTACTAGTAGTGTCGTCACAAATCGGCGCAAAGCAAAGGTTCGAAGACACGGGGATATAGCTCAGTGGTACTGCATTCGATTGCTAATCAAGAGGTCCCTGGTTAAAAACCAAGTTGCCCCCTTCTTCAGGGAAGTGAAGAGAATTTTTTTTTGAGAATTTCGAAGGCGAGAATGATCTGTCCCATTTTGTATATTTCTAATCAAAGCATTTTCGTATCCGTACCTGCGGAACACAAAGCAAAGGTTAGCTGACGCGGGGGTATTGCTCAGTGGTAGAATATTCGACTGCAGATTGAGAGGTCCCCGGTTAAAACCCGGGTGTCTTATTCAGAGAAGTAAAGCGATATTTTATTTGAGAATTTCGAAAGCGGAAACGATCAGTCCCGTTCTGCATATTTCTAGACAAAGCATTTTCGTATTCGTTCCCAAGCAACGCAAAGCAAAGTTTATCTGACGGGGGAGGGTATAGCTCAGTGGTAGAGCATTCGACTGCAGATCGAGAGATCCTCGGTTCAAACCCGGGTGTCCTCTTCTTCAGGGAAGTGAAGAGAAATTTTTTTTGAGAGTTTCGAAGGCGGCAATGATCTGTCCCGTTCTGTACATTTCTAGACAAAGCATTTTCGTATGCGTTCCTACGGAACGAAAGCAAAGGTTCGCTGACACGGGGTGTATAGCTCAGTGGTAAAGTATTCGACTGCAGATTGAGAGGCCCCGGTTCAATTCCGGGTTTCCCCTTCTCCAGGGAAGTGAATAGAAATATTTTACTGAGAATTTTGAAGGTTGCAATGATCTGTCCTGTTCTGTATATTTCTAGGCAAAGCACACAGTTTCCCATCCGTGACGGTTTTGCGTCATATCCGCGACGGTTTGCGAGCGCATCGTAAAAATTCACCCTCATCCCATTTCTCTAACGCCCCAAAAGAATATAACTTCAAAAAATAAATAAATAAACTACCACATCAACTGACGCCAAGGATGAAACATTCGCAGACTGTTTCTATTTCAATTTGCATCATGCGAGAAAATACAGTAATATTTTAAGTGTTTTGTTATTCGGAAAGTATGTCATTTTGTGCAATAAAGTATTTGAGCAAGTGAAATCAATGTAATTTTATCGGACATTTAAGTAAATAACGTGTAGTTTTAGAAGCAAAAAATATAAAGCAATACTAATATTTACTCTCGGCAAACTTGCGATTTCTCGTAAGGATTTCGTAAAGCCACATTGCTGAACATCCAAAATGTATCAGGGGACAAGATACATCAAAATTAAGTTTATTTAACCTTCGTATTTTATGTATTAATTTTCTAATTTAAAGTACTTCCTACTGCCAGGCGAGCTAGGTGAAATCAACTTACAGATTCTTTCACTGCGGCAAGCTATAATCGTTGCTACACACCCCTCTGTTTTAAATGAAAAACTTTCGATGTCTGTTAGCCTCTGGGTCAAGGCTGCTTTTCCGCTTAGGCAAGTGCCTAGAAGATTGAAAATCGAAAACAAAAAAATACCCTGAACAAAAAGTTGGCAAGGTGAGAACTAGAGGAGAGGAGTTCTCTAGAAATAGTATGTGGAGGATGTAACAATTTGAAGTGTCTAAGTGGCTGGGGAAGTTAAAAATGAACCTGTTTTGGGTGCTCTTGGCGCGAGACTTCAATTTCAATCAATCACCAAAATGAAAGCATCGAGTAAACCTCTTTGTGAGGACTTCTAGATGTAGATTTTTTTATTCAAGCTCAAGGTCATATTGAGCATAAATTGGACTCTTTTGTAGGTATAATTTTTCCGTTTTGTTATGGCGGTCCATATTATCTCCAGACATTGATTGATGTAGTAACAGGTCGCGTACACCAGATTAGTGTTCAATAAGCGATAATACCCGAGAACAGGCAGGCCGATGCAGCAATGCAATCTGGAGGACAAAGAACAATTCTTACGTTTTGTGCCACGTGTGATCACTCAATTATCCCGTTACAATTTGGCTGCAGGCAAGGACAAATATTTGAGGATTTGGAGCCAAGTGCTCATTGCCCCGACCATATTACGGGTTGGGGATCCGAATCCAACACCATCCCAAAACATACTAGGTGTAAAGGCGATATGTTGATGCATAGAGTTACAGTTAAGCAACCTCTCCAAGGTTTCTTCAAACTAATTTGATCATGGTGCTGTAGACAAAAGCGCGATTTGTCTGTAAATACGGTCATGCATTCCGTTATTCTCATCGAAGCGCCATTCCAAACATCTGGTTTAAAGAATAAAAGTAATAGCAGCAATAGACGTCTTATGGTCATTCTACTCTGCTGTAAATCACGTCAAATGGTACGCGAGGACACTTATGCACTAAACTGTGTTGTCATTGGATTTCTGATGTGGCAAAGTAATCATTACCACACTCGCAATATATCATGTAGGAGGGGACGAGGCTTTTCCATTAGTCGATTAGCCGCACAACTATTGCTTAGTTGCATGCAGCACAAGATTCCTCAGAGGGAATCTTTCTATTGTCACCAATTCTTCCTAGATTGAATTCGAAAATATGATCGTATGTCTATTAAAGATATTGCTGCTCAAATAACACTAACTCCAGTACTTTATAAATTCAGAACAGGGGCCCGTTTCATAATGCTTGTTAATGGGACTGCCCATATGGGTTTGAGCTGTGAAATACTGAACATTAGTCTATTCCATCGTGTATATGCAAGGTGAAATACTGTTTAGATGCTTCCTTCATGATGTTGTATTGGGGAGGGGCTGTAAGTATCTTTAAATTCCTGAAACAAAAATCCTCAGTTTATAATTTACTACACGGATGTTTCCGATTCCAATTAACCAAGTATTTGAAATCAAAATTATGATTTCAAGTTATATTTATAGTGATTCGTTGCAAAATTCTTGTTCGGCTTCGTATCAAGAACCTGGTGCGAATTGGCGTATTGTTATTTCCCCATCACAAAATTCTCAGTTTCAAAAACAATGGTTGTTTAAGTGAAAAATGTGCATCTAATATATTTAGGAAGTTGACAACTTAAAACTATAAAGTTTTATTTTTAGCTTCTGTAGGATCAACATTTACAAAAATGTAAACAGAAGAAAGCAATATCCCAAGATAAGTTTTCTTTAACAAGGGCTTGCCCAACGTTAACATTTAAGAAAATCTTAAATTATGCATTTAAATAATATATACCATCGTTCTGAATATAGAATAATCTTTTGTTGAATCTAGTGTGATTTTACAGCGTTTGTCCACAGACCACACATAGTTTTTAATTACGAGAAAGTTACTGTACAATAAACCACGATTTTATAAGTGGTGAAAATGCTGCAACATATAAACTTGGGTATTGCAGCAATTTATTATGTACAAAATGTCGCTTATATAATGTACAGAAAACTAAACACACTTAAAGCCTTAAAATATAAGAAAAACTGATTAAATTCTCCTCACAAATACTATACAAAAGACTGAATTTAAAGTTTACAGTGTACTGGACAAATCCTTCCGAAAGTTACGAGTTTCAACTTTCAGATTGATTGAACTTTAATTTCAAGTTATAGGAGGCTTATAGGCTACGAATCTATATATCTAAGGTTACATGACAGACAATTCCAGAGCCGATATCTCTCTAAACTTGTGTATTACACCACGTAAAGACTAATTTGGACTACTCGTTCTTCGTACTATGAAGTACATACTTCGTACTTTCACTTCCTCTAATAAAATCTAATCCAAACCATGACTTGACAGCCGTACAATCACATAATTGCTTTGATTTCCCTTGGTCTGCCTCTATAATACTCTACCGAAGTTTAAAAATATGCAAAGACATTTTAGCATTCCCTATAGAACATTTATTAAATAAAACGGTTATTAAAATTTTGTTTAAAAAGGGTTAGTTAAGTATGAATACACGAAAAGCGTAAACTACATTTGGTATCCTGCTGTTCTCATGCTGACAGACTGATCTCATTTTGCTGTCCAGAATTAGTCTATTACGAGTTCTCTTTTATGTTTGGATCTGTCGAGTTGATTCAAACTCGACCTGCAGTTTCCTCTTCGTTGAATTTGTCAGCCTCGTCTTGTTGGAAATTCGATTCCGTCGAAATATCTTGACCTGCAGTTTCCTCTTCGTTGAATTTGTCAGCCTCGTCTTGTTGGAAATCCGATTCCGTCGAAATATCAGTAGCAGATGTGTTTTCAGGATAGGTTTCTTCTTCAGATATTATGGCTGCAAAGAAAACTTATTTTTTAATTCGGAAAAATTTGCTTAACTCTAAGAGAGTGACATCAATTCAAACTTAAAGATTACCGACAACAGACATATTTCCAAACCATTATCAAGCGATTGCGATATTTAAATTAATTTCTACATTATAGCTTGTGTGTGTATACGGCAACTTAAATGAAGCACCAATTCCATATATCCGAAGCTACATTTTCATCTTGGAGCGAGTTATTTAGTGTTGCACTCTTTAAAGAAACACGAGGGGGCTATTGGTTACTGAATTTACTTTTGATCCAAGGGTCGAGTCAGGAGGACGACACTTGATCTGGCACCTCATTTTTCTAACCTCTACACCAACAGGAGGACATTGATCCTCCACAGATTTAACGTGCATTGGCCCTCTACACGGCAGGTCTACAGTGGGCCTGGAACTTTTGTCTATAAATACTTTGATACCGCAACCTTTTCATCTTGGATATTTGTATGAAGACTTATACTCACTTTGAAACAACTTGAGCATGCAGCCCAACTTGGAACTAACCCATTTCATGTCAAAACTAGATAGCCTGTCGTAACTTATGCCTAAACGAATAGATTTGAAAGGAATCCGAGCCTACAGAAATTTAACCCATCCAGGAATAAAGACCATTCCGTAAGAATTTGAACAGATATTAATATAGTAATTCTGTCAATCATTCATAACCAGTAGCTCTCTGCAGTTTTCATTTAGTGTGGTAAAAAATCCAAGACGAAGGATGTTTTGAAAATAAGCTAGATTCTTTTCAGTATACACAAGTCTGTTTCTCATACCCAAATAGTAATTTATGTAAGAGAAAGACACCATTTGAGACTTCCACAATATTGATTATATTATCTTTAAAATAAACTTTCATTAAAAAGAACCGTTCTTCCCGTTAAAAACTGCGGTTCTCGTACTTGGCTCCTTTGAACAGTAACCAAGGTCAGATGATATTTCAAGATAAAACTTTTAATAGTCAAGTGTGGAAAGTACTCTTATGTGTGCTAACCTTAAAAACTAAATATTAGTGTGATAGACTACCCACTCCTGCAGATGCAGAATTTGTAATTTGTCCATCCGAGAATTTCAGAATGGCCAAGTTAGCATGTAACCATAGCGAGAGCCCACTTTTAACATCTTCCAAGAATGCGAACACTGCCTCCCTTTCCTCTAACTTTGTTTCAATATTTTTAAAAGACAGAAATATACTTGTCTTACCAATACACTATTTTGCTTTTGAAATAAAGATATACTAGATTTTAATTTCTAATCCACGTGTCGAGCGATTAGTTACAGTATAGCACTAGTTTAAGTTAATTATCCAAGGTTATGAAATTCGAATACGGTTTGGGTCACTAATGGATCATTGTTTCATAAAATGTCACGATTTAAAATTGAATTAGAAAAAGCATTTACGAAACGCTGGTCACCGAGTATATACAGACTAAATTCCAAGAGGAGTTTTAACTAATGAAGTTAGAACTAAGCGAAA